AAAGGATATCTATAAAATATGTACAAATTTGTAAAGGATAAAAAACTATAAGCATTAGTATACCTTCCCAGAAGTTTTCACACCTTTCCATAAACTGAAATAAAGGAATATAATCACAATAAAAAGACAGGATGTCAGTTTCCAGCGTGGAAGTCCTAAATCATGGATTCCTTGGCTTTCATGAAGATGCAGAACACCTCGTCTAAAAAAAAACAAAACTGAATTAATAAAAGCAATATTGCTTTTCTTTCAATATATAAAATATAAATATATTTTTATATTTATATATTAATAATAAATACATTAATATATTTTGTAAACTATATAATCTGCAGAAATGTAATGTACTGAAAAGTTACTGATCAGTGGAGGGAGTTATGTTAGCAATATAATACAGTAAATGCAAAGATGATTTTGAAGGGGTTCATACTTGATAGTTGGTATTTGTTTATCTTCACATGTACCGTAGCACATCCCCCAGTATGGTAATAAAAAATCATGCTAGCTAAATAGTTATTCAATAAAAGATTACTGTACTTCTGGTTTTTAATACTTTTACGCTTAGTAAATTATTGCACTATTTCAAGTATAAAACACTGCAAAGCTGTCATAATAGACTGCTTACTCTTTCCAAGTGCTCCTAGTAACATACATGACATATTGTTCATGACAGATTATACATAGAAACAGTGTTCTGAAAATATTAACATATGTTGATAAAATTATTTATACCCAGGTTTCCTCATTGAAAAAAATCCTGCATCGCATGTTAGGAGCTATATGGTGCCATTATTTCTTAATGTCACCTCAACGCACCTAGCCATTGCATGCGCATTGTAATACACCACATTGCATGGCAACCTATTACCATACGATTTGGTGTGATATGATTAAAAAGTGCAATTTAGCTGCAGTAGGCAGCCCATTCAAATGAATGGGCTGTCTACCACAGCGCACCACAAGCGTATTCTGCAGCGCCTCTGCAATGTTGCATCACAGAGGTGTGAACAAGGGCTAAAACCTCTAATGGTAGCATTAGAAGTCAATCAGGTGCACTAAATGCATATGTGCATGTGAAGGGTTCCTTTACAGTACATAGCAGTTCTGTGATCTCTGGTCCCTTTTTTGCTGCCATTTAACAGCATCACATAGGGGGAAAGCTAGCACTACACTTAGAGATCCATGTCAAACTTTTATTAGAATAAAAGGCATACAAATCCATACATAGCAAAGGTGCTGCAAGAGTGCTAATACATTTCAGCCATAGAGGTCCTAGTCATATCTCTACGGTCTCTTCTTTGCTGCCATTATGCAGGATTGCAGTAGGCAATTACAGCCTCACCTACTCAGTGCTATAAGTCTGTTTAGTAAATTAGGCATGCTTCTGCAAATAACAAGGGGCACTGGGGCAGAAAATCATTGCATTCCAGGACTCATGAGGAATGAGAACTGGAACAACTTACCTTTAGCAGATAACATGTCCCTCGTACTGCAGCCATGTGGTGAGTTAGAGCAGTGAGCTACTGTATAACAGAGCATATCACACTCTGTCAGCCAGCAGTCAGTATTGGTAATAAGAATGAAATATAGTGCAAAGCTAAAGGGACAAGTAGCAGGTGAGTATGCTACACTATCTCATGACTCCACATAGCACCCAGTGGAAAATACATAATAGGGATGGTTTTGATGCAGCAAAGTCACTGTAAACTAGTTTTTATGCACTTAATCAGGCATTGGTGGTTATAGTAAAATATGAAGCAAGGGATTGTTTGGTCATTTACAGTAAGAAGAGTATGTACTGCTGGCTGCCTGTTTAGATAAATAGAAAAATACTTTGTGTCATGTGCTAATCAAGATAAAACAGTTTACAGTTAAAGTAACACTAAACTCAGGAGTTAAATCTTAAAAAAGCATTCAAGTACCTTAACTATTAAGAAAAATGTATCGTATTTGTATATCACTCTAGTTGTAGATCCTCAAATCATCTCTGAATTGTTGCCGACACTGTCCTCCTTCTGGAGGGTGGCTACTTTTGTTCCGCATGGTCCCTGTGTGTGTTGTAAAGTAGTCGCCACTCCAAGCTCACTCCCACGCTGGACTACAATCTCAATACAAATTAGTAAACTAAAACTGAGATTGTAGTCCATCACAGGAACAAGCTTGGAGTAGCCATCCTCCAGATGGAAAGGCAGTGTCAGCATGAATTCAGAGATGATTTGAGGATCTACAGCCGAGTCATAATCAAATAAGTTACATTCTTGTTATTAGGTACTTGAATGTATTTTTAAGATATAACTCCTGAATTTAGTGTCACTGCAAGTGCATTCATTACAACACCCAAATATATGTGACTACAAGGAGCAGACACTTACTATAACAGCTGATTTTCAGAGTCTAGTAGTAAAGCACCGTTAAAAAATGATGTACGAAAACTACACCCTTATGGCACTACAATGGAAAAGACTAGAGCATGGTGCCTCAACAGTCACTGACATAGAAAATAGTATATGTCCCTTAAAACACACTTCATTAAACGATAAACAAACCAACATTTCCCCCATCTAATGTATCAGAAAAACTCGTCTATTTGCAGGAAACATTAAAAAGGTCAAATTAACGTCATACTCCAGATTAAGAAGGATAAGATATTATCATGTGATCCATCAGTTCTCAACCCTTTTTCACTATTAATCTTTGCACTCCCATGTAATGGTTATAACACGTAAACAAGTTTGCCTATACCATTGCATCCTCTTCTTCACAAATCAATCAAATATCTGTCACTCTCCTCCACTCAGCATGCTCCTTGCACTGCAGCACACCTGAGTGATGACTAGTGCTGCCTTTCCCTCCCACTCTTTGAGCCCTGCTGTAGAGTAGACTTCAAGATGCAAAATTAAATTCAGGTACCTACACTGCTTGCATTAAAAAAACACGTTTAATAATGTATTCATGAATACCAAGCTGCACTAATTTGTACAGCTTATATGTGCCTTGAATTTAGCTTTCAAAGTCCCATCACTATTTGGTAATGTGTTTAAATACTCGTTGCTGTATATAACGTGACATTATATACACTATATTGCCAAAAGTATTGGGACACCCCTCCAAATTCAGGTGTTCCGTGAAATTTCCTTGCCACTAAATATTCCACGGTCAACTGTTAGTGGTATTATAACAAAGTGGAAGCAACTGGGAACAACAGCAACGCAGCCACGAAGTGGTAGGCCACGTAAAATGACAGAACGGGCACAAAGCGCAGAAGTTGCCAACGGTCTGCAGAGTTAATAGCTACAGACCTCCAAACTTAGTGTGGCCTTCAGATTGGCACAACAACAGTGTGTAGAGAGCTTTATAGAATGGGTTTCCATGGCCAAGCAGCTGCACCCAAGCCTTACATCACCAAGTGCAATGCAAAGCATCGGATGCAGTGGTGTAAAGCACGCCACTACTGGACTCAAGAGAAGACATGTCCTCTGGAGTGGCCACTCATGCTTCTCTGTCTGGCAATCCGATGGACGTGTCTGGGTTTGGCGGTTGCCAGGAGAACGGTACTTGCCTGACTGCATTGTGCCAAGTGTAACGTTTGGTGGAGGGGGGATTATGGTGTGGGGTTGTTTTTCAAGGGTTGGGCTTGGCCCCTTAGTTCCAGTGAAGGGAACTCTTAAGGCATCAGCATACCAAGATATTTTGTACAATTTCATGCTCCCAACGTTGTGGGTACAGTTTGGGGATGGCCCCTTCTTGTTCCAACATGGCTGCGCACCAGTGCACAAAGCAAGGTCCATAAAGACGTGGATGAGTGAGGTGGAGGAACTTGACTGACCTGCACAGAGTCCTGACTTCAACCCGATAGAACACCTTTGGGATGAATTTGAGAGGAGACTGCGAGCCAGGCCTTCTCATCCAACATCAGAACCTGACCTCACAAATGCACTTCTGGAAGAATGGTCAAACATTTCCATAGACACACTCCTAAACCCTTTGGACAGCCTTCCCAGAAGAGTTGAAGCTGTTATAGCTGCAAAGGGTGGGCCAACTCAAAACTGAACCCTACAGACTAAGACTGGGATGCCATTAAAGTTCATGTGCGTGTAAAGGCAGGCGTCTCAAAACTTTTGCAATATAGTGTATATGTACATGGGTGCTATATTTTCTCATCGCATACCGAAACTCTACTTTCTTTCATTGCAGTATTATTTTAAATTATGCACTGTTTAATAACACCACCGGTATAGTGAAGTTAAATACTAGTAAATGCTGCTTTGTAAGAGTAAATTGCATCAAAGGAAGCTTCTAGCATACTTATTAGATCCTCTCCATGCTCTCAGAATCACATATCTATAACCATTCTATAACAAAAAAAAGTGCACAAATAAAGTCCGAAAACGTGTTGGGACTCTCTTCAGTAAAACATATTACAATGCATCATATTAGTACATATTATATATTTTTATGGTCTATTGATTTTCAAAAACACCTTTGTCTGAAATCACTCCAGAAGGCACTGCTATGACCCATACCTGTGCTCACCAGAAATAAATGATCACACTATGTTTTCAGGTCAAAATGCTTAGCTTGCTTTATCCTCAGTATCAGGAGTTTAAATCTCCTACAATCTTCTTCTCCACTCAGACAATGTAAAAACAATCAAAAACACCACATAGCGTGATACCATTTCATTTATTATTTTAAAAAAAAGTAAATTGTACCCACATTTGGGGGCGCTCAAACCATCATCATTTACAACAAGCATAAGACCGTCAAAATGCTCTGCTGCTGTACCATTTAGCGTCTTCCCCCCGCCTCTCCTAACCAAAATGTATAATTTACCAGTGAGTTTTGCAGCCCACAGAAATTCCTGCAAATATGTGCTCAGATCTCTCATTCCTGACATGCATTTCATCACACAGGACTTTTTCAAAGGATTACAGATATTCAATATGTAAGTTAATTGAGATTTTGCCCTTTGCTGATTTTTTCTCTCCAACATTGCTTTCAATACACTAAATGATGTTCCCTCATTTGTTTGATCACTTTTACTTTTGCACATTCTTTGCAGATATGGTCACAACGCTAACATTTTTAGTGGCTATCAAAGCTAAACATCTTTCAGCCAAAAAAAAGGAGAACACATTAATAGGTGGAGAACTTTTCCACTTCTCTAACTCACACATGACGGTAAACAAGAGGCAGCCACAC